GAGGAGTTGGCAGCACGTCCCGGTTGCCCTCCACGGTTAGCAAAGATCAACACGCCCAGGCGTGTACACCGTTGTGCCATAGCGGACACGTAGACGTGTTCTGTTTTTACACGCAAGGCTCGGTGTATTTTGTTTATACGCGAGGTCTCGTGTAAAATGAACATCCTTGAACGTGTATTTCGTCCAAAAGACGTGTTCAACGTTAGACGTGTTCAATATCCCTCTGTCAATTGACTGTGCTTGTCAAATGTAAATGCGTACACTGCGTAACACTGATAGTTTGCCACGCTTCTTGCGGCTGTACTACCGTGCGAGCGCGTTTTCGTAAGGTTGTAAAACCCTGTTTTTAACCAGATTTCGCGAGTTCGTTGTTTAGATTTTCTGTTTGGTTCGTGCATAACGAGCGGGTTACCTACGAAACGATCGGGGTGTTAAATAAAAGTTCGTGAACGCAAACATTGCCTGCTTGATGTTTCTTGACCGGTGCAAACGAAAACAATTCTGGCGTGGTTGTACGGGAGACACGAATCTTTCAATGAACTGCAAATTCTATGACACGACATTCAGCTTCTTTGTCTATATAAAACACGTGAAATAATACATGGAAAGCGGGGCCGAATTCTGTACGTAATGTTCGGCACAACCAAGCAAACGTTACGTGCGATCTAATAGCTGATGTCCTTTGAGAAGTTTCTCAGCATTCACATCATTTAAAAGGTTATAAAAACTGCAGTCGGCTGCACATTTGATTTCGAAAAATGCGTGTTGAACAGCGACGGCGCATGCAAGCAAGATGATATTTGTTTGACCGCCACTTTCGATCACTTTAACTGCTTCGCCGGCAACTGGATGTTAGCGCGCATATCACACATTCATTTCAGCGCGCTGTCCAAATGCCAGCTTGTAGCGAAAAAAACAAACAAACAAACAAAAAACGCATAGACAAATGGGCGTTTAGGAGGGAGAGAGGAGAACGCGGTGAAAATAAATACAGAAACTGAGAAAATGGGGGAAGGGGGGGGGGGGGGGGGGCGCGCAGTTGGTCACGCGGTCCTCGTCACGTGACTGCGCCCCGATGACGTGCTAAAAAGGCGCCACCTGTGGAGGGAACTCACTTGGCTCGTTCGATTTACCCGCACCTCCTGCAGAGCTGCACACATATCGAACGAGCTATGACAATTTGCTGGATCGCGCATCCCCGCTTGCATGTTCACTGCGGGGCGAGTGCAGCCACCGGACGGCCATCTTGCATGTTGCGAAATCGCGCCTTTGCGAGCGTTGCAGAGGCAGGCGGCAGCGTACTGAAGACACGTTTTCTGCTCGTTCGTCATCATTCGCCGAAGAAGTTTCTTAAATCCTTGTGAAAACGGTGAAACTTGCATTTGACAACACGTAAAAGTATTTACGAAAGCCGCAGAAAAAAGGTGCAACTCGTCGAAAGAAAGCTTCGCCGGTCTCACGCCGTGGTCATAGCTTCCTTGGCACGCCGAAATACTGCGTCTCTGTGCCTTCGCACGCTTGGATACCGATCAAGAATCGACGCCGTGTGGATGTGTCCTGCGAGTGCAATGTGCGTGAAGCCGGATGTGCCTACGGAGCAGCGTTTTACTTTACTCTGACGACTGTATTTGTAACTTGCGGCACTCGTTGTCCAGAAACGAGCGGTCGTCGCCACCCTACCGCACCCGCGGTCCAGTGGGGCAACACTTCCTAGAAGAGAAGTCCATAGCGCTCCGAGTGGGCACGTCACAATGGCGGAAGAAGGAAGGCCATGGCGCAACTACGTGAGAAAATTCCGCTGTCGACGCGTATCGGCGCATTAATGTTCGTGCGCGTTTATTCGACATTAAAACACGTTTTAAAAGCGCAGTCTTGTACAATTTATTATATATATAATATAAACGTAATATACAACGCGTTACCAAGGTTGAAAGTACCAAATTTATATTTTTGATTATCCCCGTAACCTCGGCACTAAGCGCAGTCCCGCAGCTAGCTCCCCACACTTTTCGAATGAACCGGCTCCGAATTTCCGATGCGACATCTTCCCTCGTACGGGCTCTGATTCTGGTAAATTTACGTAGCGTGTGACCTGCTGACTGCATGCAAAGGTACGCTGAGACATTTCAGAAGGGAAAGGAACCGAAAAAAAAAAAAAAACATTCATCGCCAATGGGAGGGAGCGCACACGAGGAAGAGATGGGTCGACAATGTTAAGCCTCTCGTCACACACTGCTGGTGCTGCTCTCGCGTGTGTGTGTGTGTGTGTGGTTTTGTCCTACTCATCGGTTTTTTTTGTTGCCACCGCAGTCTCGGGTAGATATTTTGTGTGTGTGTGTGTTCGCTTGATACTACAGCATTTACGTGGATTCGCGAAACAACTCCTGCTACGGTTTGACATGTGTGGCAACTATAGTCCGTTGCAACCTAAGAACGAAGGGCGAGGTGAAGACGGGCCGGGGAGGAGGAGGCAGACGGAACGCTAAAGAGAGAAGGAGGTTTTACTCTCTCTTCTCCAGCGTTCCGTCTGCTTCTTCCTCCCCGGCCCGTCTTACCCTCGCCCCTCGTTCTGCAACGGACTATAGTCAACGATGACACTGGCCGATGACCTCTCTCGACAGAGAGAGACTTCTTGAAGTTCGTGTTAAAATTTTTTTGTGATGGATCGTGTGGGACGTATGGATACGATCGACAGGTGAGGAACAACTTATTTACGGGCTTTCTTGGTCATGTGAGATGCAAGTAAAGTGCTGCAGTCGATTTTTTAAATATTTTTTTTAATGTCGTGATAGAATGGAGTTTTGTTCTTCGTCATTATCCGTTTGCTATTGCGCCGACATTTATAATTATGCTTGGTAATATTCTAGTTTTTACTGGAAGGTAAATAACAAGTTTGTGTGATTATTGAAAGTGCGTTGTTTGTGCTTAAGTGTTTATTTCTACTAATGTTATTTTGTTGCCTTTACCGCGTTTATACTATAATCTTAACTGTATTAAGGTAATAGTATTAGTGTATATAGAATAGGTTATATTTTGTTCTTAGGCACCTCGAGCCCATAGGGAGAATTAAATTAGTTGACTGTAAATAGTAAGTTTAGTACCCCTGCCACACGGAAAGTTAATATATTTTGATTAAATAATACGGGAGCTAGCTCTTTTGAGTGATTATATGAGCGTCGCAAGCTGATTGGTTGGCCCCATATTTTCATTCGATCGAAATTACATTACTTTTGCCATGTGGCTGGGGTATAATGCAAGAATTCAGTGACTGCACGCGATAACATCGCTTGCATGATCGTAAGTGACATTCCTCTAGCCGTGTCCGCGTTGACTACTTCTACCTGATTTTTCAATGTGACCTGTTTTGCTGTGTCCAATCACTGCGTGTCTTGCCATTTTGTCGAAGTATTTCTGTGTAAAATATGCATTCCTTCAGCAATAAATGCGTGAATCAATGTTTTCTTTTATACGCCTTCCTCGTACCATTTCATACCGATCACTTAGCGGTGTAATATTTTGCCCGTGTAATGAAATGTTTTCGAGAGCCGTTGCTATGTGCAGCTTTCAATTTAGCTAATAAGACACGCTTATGTGACTAAAAGCACGTTACGACGATCGATCCACGCGCGTTGCCTTCGCTTCGCCGCGCGCCCCCGCGATGGCCTTTCCTCGCGACGTCACGAGTAGAGCGCTACGGCCTTGTCTTCTAGGAGGTGTTGAGTGGGGACGGAAGAGGTGGGGGGCGAGGGAGTGAGAAAGTGAGAAAAAGGGGGAAGAGAAAAGGCGGCGGTGGCACGTTGTTTTTTTCTTTGCTTTGTTTACTAGACACTTGTTCAATCAACTCAGTAAAAGAAAGGTCTATTTCAGTGAACCCCCCCCCCCCCTCCCTTTCCTACCGAACACTTCCAACGCCCCTGGCTCTATTGTTCAAAAGTGGCGATGTGATTTGAACGCCCTAGGAATTGTGATTGGTTAACAGATTGTACATGACCATCTGGGCCCCATTTAAAAGATTTTCAATGTCGCCGTCTTGTGCTTTTGCCTTCGAAAACCTTTTTTTTCTCCACAGCGTTGTTCTATTTGTGCTGCCATGTGATCCGTTAGAGTAGATTTGGAACATAGCCGTTGTTAATAATGCATAAAAGGAACCGTGCAGATTTCTTTCCCACTTTATTGATAGCAACTGGCCGTAACAGCTTGTGGGATTTGCTAACTACCAACAGAGGTATCGATAAAGGAACCAAAGGGTTATCTCAACAGCGGTGGCGATCTCAAAGGGGACGTCAAACCTAGTAGCGCGGTCCCACATCTCCGCGGCAATATTATATGGACGACGTTTAAGGCTACATTACCGCGGGTCGGTTCGATAGGTACCTCCGTCGGTGCCAATGATCGTCAATACCTTGTCTCACTTTCTCGAATATAGAGGAAGAGAAGACATATACCAGTAGCAAAGTAAGGACATAGTCCAAGAGCATTCATTAAAACACTCATCTAAAATAACTGCAATGTCCCCATCCAAAATACCCCCCCCCCCCCCCCCCCCCCCCGCGCGCCGGCAATCTAAGAAAAGGTCCTTACCTGCCTGACGCAGGGTTCCGGAGAGCCAGAGGGCGGGAAAGCGTCGGAAAAGTCGCCGATACACGTCCTTTTCCTTTCGCCGGCACCGCGGTCGAGTCTCCTTCCCGAAAGCGGGAAAAGACGAGGCGAAACCTCCTTGTCAGCAGTGATCCGCATCCGAGCGGGGGAACGGAAAAGGGTCCCCCCGAGAGAGACTGAGGGGAGGGCCCTCCAAGACAGGGAACCCTCTGCTTCACTAACAGGTCGAAGCTCACGGCGAAGAAGCCGAGCGTTCCGACCCGTGGCCGTTATCGCAGCCATCGGGGAAGAGAGATCACAGAAATCCCCACAAGCTGGACGATCCAGAACTCCGTGGCCGATATAGGATACAAAGACTTCCACGCGCGACGCACCTCCAACGCTTGTGTGAGGAACTCACATCACTTGAAATGTATTTAATGTTTCTTGTACTTTCTGCGCGGTTCCTATCCTCTGTCATGGGTAGGTACCTTGAATGTATATAAACCAACATTATGGTATAAACAAACGTTATCTATCTTTTTGTATTATGCGAAGAGGTCAATGTGCTAATGTCAGGGTCGATTGAAGAAATTCTAAGATGTTGGGTTGAGAATTAGTCCTGTATTCCGCCATTGACATCCACAGGACAAGCAGATACAAAGATTTTTGTAATACATTGTTATCATTAATTGTAGCAAATATCGAAGCAGGAGAAACTCGCTAAAACGTTAGGTTCCAGGGTGAACCTCGCGACGTTTTTTATCCAGTGAAGCGACCCTCGAATCAGTACGGGCCCCTTTTGGTCCGATGTCCACAGTTTGGAAACCCTGTCCTATGTGACAAGTTGCCGTGCCACCAGTTGACCTGCTAGACTGTATCTCTGTATCGAGACACATTTGAAAAATGTATTTGTATCCCAGTAGCGTTTGTATCGCGATACTTTGCCGGATTTGGGTATCTCGTTCCATTTGTTGTCCTTTTTAGGATAAATTTGAAATATAAAAAAAACATCTGTTTAGTGCAAGTTGCTTCGTAATTTATAATATGAACCCGCTTGATCCATCTCAGTCACCGTCATTAAAAAGAACTGGTTTTAAGAAGGTTACCGGCAAGAATAACAAAATCAGCTCCTCTCAGAAAGCCCTCCACTCTTTCCAATTTAGCAAAGAGAACGCTAAAAAGCATTTGAGTGACGAAAAAGTACGACCTTGTTGTCCAATCTCCCCACACTATGGGTGACTCAGAAGCGACAGTTTGAGATGCTCCCTCTTGACAAAAAAAGGGTTCATTTCTAGCAGACGTCTTTTGTCAAGAATGGCACGAAGTCTTTACCGTTCTGTAAAAATCTGGTTCAACCGGGGGGGGAGGGGGGGGGGCATGTTTTTTTTAGCGGCACTAATGATAAATAAAGAGTTCGAGGTAAGGGGAACAGCATAAAATGGCACAAAAAAGAAGCACAAGCACAAAGTACCATTCGTTTTCGCCCCGAACTACATACACCCTTCCCACCTAGCATCGTTCGGGAACAAATGTATTTCTATGAGTATCTGTGTCTGTATTCCGGAATACATTTTTGCCGGTTTTGCGGAAGTATCTCAGGAATATCCCGTTGCATAAAAGACAAATGTATCTCAGTATCTGCATTTTGGGCCTTAAAACTCATGTATCTCAGTACTTGTATTCCCGATTAGTTTTTGGAGTATCTCTCTCCAGCCCTGGCTCCTCGTACCCCTCCCCACTTTAACAGAGTAAACGCTGGAGAGGAGGCGACCACCTCTCCAGCGTTCGCTCTGCTACAGTGCATAGAGGTGGGAGGAATTTATGAATTGTATTTATCGCCAATCGCTGCTGCTCTGTGCCAAGCACCTCCCCCCCCCCCAAAAAAAAAAAAAAAAAGAAATAAAAGCAACTCTCGCGAGATAGTCGGGGAATATGTATAGTGCAGATACTATGATCGTAGCTATATTATGTCGCTCTATAGTCGGTGGTAGGTCAAGAACCCAGGGCGAGGAAAACGAAGGCTGGGGACGAGGAAGCAAACGGAATGCAAGAGAGAGGGGTATGTTTCCCCTCTCCTCTCCGGCATTTCGTCTGCTTCCTCCTCCCCAACCTTCCTTTCCCTTGTCCTGGGTTCACCTCATGCCAAGATGTATATGTAAAATGGAGCGTACCGCCTCCCCGGTCAGTAGGTACCATAAAGCACCCTACTGGGCAACCCATGAAAGGTGAATGAGCCATCGACGTCTTCGAGTCGGGCTTCAGGAGCCGGCTTGTAGTCACTGTCCTCGAACAGCATTTTAGTATCGGTTCATTCCGTTTTCAGTATGGGGCGGGGCTGCAGGTTCCATTACGGCCAAGGGATTGACGAATTCGCTGACATCGTTCGTTTCACAGGGGTCCTTGTAGCCCTCGGGGGGCCAGTGTTGGTGCTGAAGGTAAGTCTCTTGCAATGCAGGGTCCGTCGTTTGACCTCCTGTCATCGGCAGCGTCTGAGGCACTTGGTGAGCGTCCGTTGTCAGCTTCTGGAATAGAGTCGGAAGCATAGCACAAACTAGTATTGGCCGAGTGCTTCTGAGCTACCGAATTATCGGTAAGTGCGAAAGTGATAAAACACATTCAAAGGTCCAAGATGCCCAGGGATCCTTGGTTCTTTCTTTGCCCCTGCCCGTTTTTATCTGGAAAAGCATAGTACTTCCGCGCTGCCGTGTATCACTCTGCTTGATGCGTGTTAAAGATCCCAGCCTAGCAGTGGCACCATACTGGCTAAATTTTTCATCGACAGTGGAGACACCAGGCGCCTATTGGGGCAGACTAATCCCCCGCAGTTTAAACAAACACACAAGACGATTACCTTAAGGGGCGGCTGACATCAAGTACTGCAATGACGGTATGAAACACTGCGTATACTTGCTGAGTGTATGGGTTTGTATTTGAGATATACGCTCCATAAAACTGCGAACATCATGCAGACTTTCCGAAAGGCGTAAGAGTGTGTGAATTCTGCCATTCAAGGCGAGTGTTGACACCAAACTCGCCGATGTTCGAGCGATCACGACCGCCAGAATCGCTTACGAACTATTCCAATAATATAGCTCTTACGTCGGTGTAGCTGTCGGTACGTTGCACTGGCACACTTTATCGCTGGCAAGGGTGTTGAAATCTTGTTTTTAAAAACAGTTCGCTCTTGCTTGACAGTCTATATGAGTCGTTTTCAAGATCGCAATCGTCAGTAATTTATTTGCGTATTGGGAGGCAATGTGGGGAACGATGCACGGCCGCCCTTCAAGCTGCCTTCTTATCAGTTTTATATGGGGTGTTCAAAAATAACTATGTGTTCTCTTACAAAAAAAATAAACTACGCATCGCCGAACGTCTTCTGTCGGCCAAAAAGTAGCGCAATAGCGGTTTAAACCAGGTGCCAAAGGTTCAGAAGAAACCGTTATCTTACTCGAGTAGTTAGCGACTTTCAAAAGTTTTCATCTGCAAAATGCTGGCCCAGAAAGCCCATGAACACAAGGGAATTAATGACGTCAACTAACGGCAATGTAATTCATTTTCCCATCAAAAGTTTAAAAACATCACTTACAACTTTTGAATAAGATAACGGCTAGTCCTCAAACTTGTAGGCGTCTGATCTAGACTTCTAGGGCTATACGTTTGGACGGAGACTGAGCGATCAACGACGCGTAGTTTATTACTTCTGTTAAAAAGATACCCAGTTTCTTTTTAGCGAGGGCACGCTGTACATAGCTTGAATTATAACGTCACATCCGCGGTCACATTGGTGGCCTTGCTGATGAACGCGTATACCTTCTGCAGCGTATACATTCCGCTTCCCGCCATATGTTCTTCTCGGTCAAAACAAGTAGGAATGACATCCAGCATGGTGTGATGACGTCATGTGCAAGCCATGTATCAATGCCACCTAGAAGACGAGGCCGGTACCTTATCCCTCCATACGTCACCACTTGTGGATCCACGCAGCGTCGCCTAGCTTGCGTCAGCTTCGCCGCCGCCGCGTCTCGTAGCGTCTCACAATGAACGCGATATGCGGAGTGCAAGCTCGTCTGTTTCTTTTGGACGGGTTGTGGCAGAACGTCGAGCTCTGACTGGCTCTAGTTGAAGGATAGTGGGTAGATCTCAAGGCAACTTGCTTTGAGGTCTACCCAGTATCCTTCAATCAGAGCCAGTAAGAGCTCGGCGTTTTCACGTCACCAGATGTCTGCAAAAGAAGCAGACAAACTTGCGCTCGTCGCCGAGACGGATGCGTCCGCCGTCTTGCGGCGATTCTCGTCCAGCCTCAGCATGTTTGCACCATAGAGTTATTACAATAAACGCTAGAGGCTCAGCTGGCGCTAGTGTCTATGGGACTTCCGGTTGCAAATTGAAGCAGACAGCATGCAGTCTACTTTTCCAGTCTTCCTGTGTATTCCTATGGGAAAACGCGCGTGAATTTTGTCTCGTCGCCGGAAAATAACATTAATAATTTTTGTTATTTCGGTTGTACCGGGTAGTATGTACCTTTATTAATATTGTGAAAGTGTAATTGCTTTAGTTACAGCATTTTTCTTTACCACTGAACGATGTTAAACTTCGCTCTATTTCAGGCCCAAACCTCTGTTGCAAGGAAGGTATGTAAAAACGAGCGACGATTCCAAGCAAAATAACAATCGAAAGGAATGTAGAGTGTGTTCAAAGTTCGCCAGCATTCCGTTGGTGCTTATATATTGCTAATATGCCTGTCCTCTCACTATATGAAAATGACCCCGTCGTGCATCTTTACGAGTGCTTAAAAAAAACGTTTGAATCGTAAAGAATAAAGTACTTGGGCTACGAAAGGTGTATTTTCTTATTATTTCCTATGTTGGGCAGTTTTATCGCGCACTAGCTGTTCTCTGGCTTCCCCCTATTTGCAAAGATTTGGAGCGTGCGGGTGATGATTTGAAGACAGAACAAGCATCTTCGCATGTATTCATGAGCAGAAAGAATAAAGCAGTACTTATTTATTGCAAATCGGACTATATTACGTGACTTTCAATTTATTTTGATCGTCTGCAAGCACAAGGAGTTACTTATCCAGTGTTACTGCGTAGTTCTTGCCGTCTCTCTTGGTTTTCCAGATGTCCTTCGTTCGTTTGGCACGTAACCCCCTGGAAAGCGCCGGCGCCGTGTTCGCGCTAACAGTGTCCGACAGCGCACATAAATACATGTAAGAAGCGGTTTTAGCACCGTTTTTCATGCCACGATTTTAAAATAAAAACGCCGTAACTGACCAATTATTTCATCTGCGTGTCTGGGAAATGTTCCAATGTGCCTAGTGGGTACGAATTATTCCTGATATTTGCTCTTATAATCGAGCGCAGGGAGGACATGCACTCGCTTTTTTCCGTAGAAATGCATTACCGGAAGTCAATTTCGGACTGCTTGCTGTCTGCTTCAATTTGCAACAGCACACTAGCGCCAGCTGAACCTCTAGCGTACATTATAATAACTCTATGGTTTGCAGCTTGGGGCGCGTCGGGAATTTACCAAGGACAACATTATACGTAGTCGTACGCAAAAAAGGCTCGACGTATACCGAAGCACCTCTTATGAGTTGTGAATGCGAAAGCATGTACGTCATTCTTTCGCTTCCTTATTTCGTCTGCAGCGTATTTGCGTCGACGGCAGAGCGGCGAGCTCCGCCGGCGAGGAGAGGGCGCCTCTCCTCGCCGCTCTGTCCCTGAACGCTCCGTGGTAGCGGCACTGGCGGCACGCTGACGGACACGCAGCGCCATGGGGTGAGCGGTCGTTGAAACTGACGCGCAGCGGCCAATTAGAGCATCGTCGACGCGCGCCAGCCAATGGGACCGAAGCCGAAAATCCATCAGCTTTACTCCGCTCCTTTGAGATTGGGGAATTTAGGTGCCGTTGGCCGGCTTTTCGCGTGGTTTCATATCTGTGAGCTGGCTTCGCTTGAAGGAGGGATTTAAGGTGCCGTTTGGCGCGGTTTCAAAGCTGGTGGCACCGGCTCGCTCCATGAGACAGTTAATGCTCACGCATTAAAAAACGGCCCTTATAAACACTCTCCGACCGAGTGTCTGCGCAAGAGTTGACAATGTATGAAGAAAACTAAATTATTTCATGCTTCTTTTTTTTTTTTTGATAATCGTACAAACTACCGCTTGCAATTGCCTAATGGAATCTATGCGGAGAGCAAGTTGTCTGCTTCTTGCGCAGAAGTTGCGGTGACGTCACAATGACGTCAAGCTCTGGTTGGCCTTGGTTGGGAGGATAGTGTGTAGACCGCAATGCCAGAGATGCCTTGAGGTCTACCCACTATTTCGTTTTACTCAGCCAGTAAGAGGTCGGCGTTTTCACATCATAGGAACTTCTCTGCAAGAAGCAGACGAACTTGGTCTCCGTAGTGCCCAAATGAGACTGTCACAGAAACTATCACCCCTAAATTTCATGAAAGGCTCAGTGCCTTTATTAACCATGGAAATTTGTCTGGGAATTGTATTAGGAACTGTGCACGTGTATTTTTGTTCCGTCGCATGCGCGTACCATGCTAATTGTTTTACTGTACTAGTTATGATTTTGTCGATTTTCCAAATTATATTCCTTACCCTTCCTCGTGTACTTTCAGGGAACGGGTCTTCGAGGGAAATAAATCATTAAAATAAAAATACGCAAGGCATTGTCTTCTAGGTGTTCTTGTATCTATATACGGGTAGCCTCTGCGTGCGTTGAGACACCAGACGTCCATTCGGGTTGGCTAACTTCCGGCTGCATAAAGATATACAGAACAAAATCATCACCGCATGATCGCTTACCTTTCTGCATGGATATCGGCAGCAGCAGACAGCCAAGGCTACCACGCAGATGAAGGCGACGCCGATGCCCACTGCGATGGCGATGATGACTTCTCGCGATAAACCGTTATCATCCCTGCCAATTTCTGCGCAGTGTCAAATGAAGAACATACAAACTGCAATAAGGGCGCGGGCGATACCACAAGGTCAATACAAAGCATTTCTCAAGCTATTTTGCTTTCATTCGCATGCCACCATATGCTAACCTAATCAAATTCAACTATAGCGTACTATTAATTCAGCATAACCTTGTGTATCAAAGAATAAAGCGCGTACACCCTCAATTGTTAAGTTACATTGCTTCACTGGGAATCCAAAATATTTTATAGGTTATATAAGAAGGACATACGAGTGCCTAACATTCTGTAATTGTGCACCCTGTCAATTTGTGTTATATTTGTTTCTGCCTTCTGCGAAACGTATCAATGTATAAATTCACACAAAGGCAATTTCTGTCCTTGGGACATTTCCCTACGATGTTCAAAATATTTGTTGGATTTGTGTGGATACCGAGGGCTCGTAAAAATGTGTGAGGCTGTTTTCTTTTTTTTTTCTTGGCCCCTTATTCTTTAATGATACGCATTCATTATATTTATGTTTATGATGTTTATACTTATCTTCATTCTTTCTGGTCATTGACGCAATAAACCAAATACAAATTATAGTGATGAAACATTTAACTAAAAGACCACAATTCACTTCAACGTGATAACTTTTAAAGCATGAAACTTTTTCAATGGACAAACTTACAGAAATTTGTTCGGCCATACGTCTTTGCATTTCACCTCTAAATGTAGCGAGAAAATTAACGTCATGTGACGTCATGATACCACGTGACACCGCAACTTCACACCGTGACGTCAACTTTTTTTATAAAGCTACCGGGGAAATGGTCAAGTGACCGGACGTCATGGTGCCAAATCGGGACGTCACCTGACACAAAAACGGCAGGTGCCACCCTGACCCTTTAGATGTTTTTCAAACAAATCTAAATATCATTATAGGTCTTCGGAGATAAAGGTTTAGTTGGTAATTTTTTTAATTGGTCGACTGCAAGCTGCGAAAAATTTAGCAGACAATTATGCTCTTACTTTGAAAATTATTTCCATAGTCCCACTCGACGGGCTGGGGAAAGCCATGTATGACATTCTCAAGGGATCGGTCCTCGTTTTGTTCAACGTCGACGGGCTGCGATGTTGTTAGGTTTCGTTCTAAAGTTTCCCCGCAGTTCGGCAGGGGGAATAGAGATCCCCGGTCCAGGAGAGTCCACATGGCTCCGAGGAGAAGACACCAGGCCGCTTGGTCCATGAGCGTGGGACACTCAACCGTGTGCCAGCAGCTGCAATCCGTGACAAAGTCCTGCTTTTAACCAGAAATAGAAAACTAAACCCGCAGGTCACACTGCTCCTACGTCATACAAAAGACATTGTGTTCCCCGCAAACATGGTGACACAGTTACCTGAAGACACACCCCAAACGTGTTTGAAGCATGTTTTCTTCATATATATGTATGCCTCAAACATTTAAACGTGTCTAAAGACAGGTTTTGCATTACATATATGACAGGACTGTCAAACAAGAAGAAAACACTCCTCAGGCAGTGCTTGCAGATTGTATTTTGTAATACGCATTAAGCCCCGGTAACTCTACTAATACATTAATTATACCAAAGAGAGTATGTAGAGACGGACCGAGGCGTGTTTGTTTGTTGTATGTCAGCCTTGTTACATTAATCATACAAGAACTGTCCGTAGAAATGTTCGAAGCATACGAATATGTGGTGGGAACTGTGTGTTTCTCGTCTCACTATCCAGGCCTAGCATATGCATCGTGGGTACCGCGATGGCGGCTACTTCCCGGATATCGGGCGAGGCCGTATTCCTCGAAGGGATCGGTGCCTCCCTCGCCCTTTTGGGTTAATTTCATACTGGCACACCCTTCTTTGGAGTGATTGTGGACGCTACCCATCTGCGGGCTAAGCCACACCACCCACCCCGGGCGCGTCCAAGCCGGCCCCAAAACCCCCAAGAAAGGGAGAGGCGCGAGCCAGAGACTCTCTTGTAGGGGAAGGCTCTGGTCCCTGCCACGAATCTGCCTTGTACGGTAGCGTTGGCTCCTCCAGGTGGATCTGACTGATACGACAAAACCTTCTTTTTAGTCTTTTCTTTTATTTGTTTGGCCGACGGGCAAAGCGTGGTGGCAAGACGCCAATACAACACGTGATTCTATTGATTCACAAACCTGTGTTTCTATATGGCAACCCCTAAAGGGGAAGCCCAGAATTTAGAGGCATGCATATCCGTGGATTATTCGCGGATCATCCGCGAATATCCGCAGTAAACTGGCTGACGCGGATAACGATTAATCAGATTTGGCGGATTGCGTCTCGGATGCGGATATCAGCGGGTTCGGATTTACATTTTTGCCCAGGCGGCCCATAAACATGAGTCTAGAGCGAATAATTGAGTGATGTTATTAAGTGCCTCATCGAATGTATTGGGGACGCAAACTACTTTAGATAAACGGTGCCAATCGGGGAGATAATTGTTCTTTACGTCAAGAAATACTTCATTCTCTCCGAAGATAGAACACATATCTCGCCAAAAATGCTGTCCCTAGAAAAAGTAAAGAATGATGGAGCATCAGCTATCCCGGAAAAGCATGCTCTTGTTTGGCAGGAAAAGAGCTGAAAACTTTTTTGGTCAAAAAATCTCAAGACGTACAAGCCACAAAAAGGTAGATGAATCCTGCAAGTGGCTTCTGCGCCTACAAATAGATCGAGGAGACTGAATTCAATCCTCTGGAGGGGTTGACAAACTTACAGACACCGCCGGGTTTTTGGTCGACGAGCCCTTTCGTTTTCGGCAAGGTCACGCGCACAGCTGGCGCGGAGCCATAGAGTAGTAGGCGCCGCGCAACACTTCCTAGATAATAAAGCCGTATTGCCGAATGAGATGGCTTTATCAGAGAAGGCAAACGCTGGACACATATTGAAAACGAGTGCTGCGTCAGTGCTCGGCTTCGAGTCAAGTTTGAGCCGAACGTTGACGCAATCGTCGTGTCCAATCTTTACCCGGCGTTGGCCTACTCTGATGACGCCATCTCATTCAGCACTACGCAGCTTTGTTATTTAGGAGGTGTTGCGCCGCGGCGCGGTGGAATGCGGACGTGCTCAGTTGCCGCTCTGCCGTCGCCGGTAATTCTTCGCTCTGGATTTCCGTAGTAGCGGTGCGTGGGATGTGATGTGGGTTCTGAAAATACGGTACACCGCTAGTTGAAACGAATTCGGCCAAACTATAATATCCTAAAATATTCCGAAGGATCCCGGAACCTGTATCTAAAGCGTAAATCCCCCAGTATAACACTGTCCATACATAGGGCACCTTGCTCGCAGCAGAAATGATGACATAAGTGTCTGCGGGCACGCCATATTTGTGATTGGTTCACGCTTCAAAAACCAGCTTCCAGACATTAGAGAGTTTGAAGGAACCGTTTTTGCATATGTGATATGGTACAATGGGCCCACCAGTACGAACTGCGCATGCGCTGTCCACAAAAGACTCGCATATGTGCAGTTCGTACCGGAGGGTCCATTGTATACCATTGTGGAGGTGCAAAAACTTTGCCTTAAAATTCTTCTAATGTCTGCAAACTGTCGTTAAAGCTAATTTAGTTCCGTATAAACATCTACCTGGCCATGAATTATTAATATAGGACTGGGAAACTCTGAGGATCGGTAATCTGAATAGCAAACGTTTCAACTTCAAAAACATAAACAGTAACCCATGATCAAGAGATCCGAGCTGGCCTTGAAACGTTGGGTATTCAAACTTCAAACGGTCGGAGATTTTTTTTTTCTTCTTCCTATTTTAGACTGTATTTCGCACGATATACTTATCGGTGGGACCGAGGGTTAAGAAGACACTTGTCCTGTTATCGAACCCGACGGCATTCCTCTGTGGGAGAAGAGATTGAACTGAGATCAGGGGCTGCTTCTTCGCGGGGGTTTGATAACGGTACATCGCACAGGTATTTTTAGGGCTTATCATCGAGGCAACATTTTTTCCAAATCACTGGGCTGTGTACGCATGCGCGGAGCCTGATATTCAGCAGAAGAGAGCAACTGCGCATGCCGGCGCTGGATTAAGGGGCGTGGGGGTTAAGGAGGCTGCAGCCCAGGGCCTCAGTCCTAAGAGCAGGGGATTAAAGCCCCCTTTGCCTTGTTTTTTTTTTTTTTTTATTATTATATTTGGATAACTGTTGCGGAGGCGGCAGAAGAAAAGTCGGGAAGCCCCTGACAGCTTCCTGCCCTCTTCAATTCAATGTAACTCTAAATTATAAAACTTCAAGCAGCGGGAGAAGTCGGGGCCTCCGCCTAAAGTCACTTCCTGTACCTTGTTTACTTCGAGTGACCTTGCCAGCATTTCCATAAGCGAGGCCTCCGCCTCTGAGGGGGTCCCCCGTCCTAGAGGCCAGGGCCGTACCCAGGGGAAGGGTTTCGGGGTTCGACCCCCCCCCCCCCCCCCCTTAAATATATTCGACCAACCCCCCTCACCCCTCTCCCCTCTCCCCGGGAGGGAGGGGACCCCTTCCCTTCCTTTCTCTGTTGGCTGGGGAAGGGAAGAGAAGGGAGGCTGGGAAAGAGGCCCGGGTGGTCTCGATTTCACTAAAGCTCCACTGGATCGGGAGACCCAGTGGGGGACCCGCTAGAGCTCCAGCGATGCTGTTAGGGGTGCACGTGTGCCTGTATATACAACGCAGAACTCTTACTATTACTGCTAACCAGAGGCGCATGAATTTCAGCGCGTCTTCCCCGCGCCCCGAAAACCGCAACGCATCCGGCCACGACCGATCTTTTCGGAGCCACTCCGATAGCGTCCGGAGGGCGGCACTATTGGAGTGGCTCCGTTCCACCGCACAGTGGATCGCAGCGGATGCTAGATACCGTATTCGCCAATCGAGGGCTGAGAGAGAATCACATGACCTTGAGCTTCGAATAGTACACCATAGAGGGTAGGGTGACTCTCTCTCAGAGCTGGGTTGGCTGGGATGGCTCGTAGCGTCATTTGCGGTCCATTATGAGGTGACACAGAGATGTTCGCTTGAGCAATAAACACGTACGTTTGAGGGAAACCCGTATCGTTTTTTGTTTTTTTTTATAATTATAATGCAGTTAAATACAAAGGTGCAGGCGAGCTGGACAAGAATGGCGAAAATGATTCCTGGAGAAGGGGAACAAGAGGGACAGAGGACAAACACAAATCTCCAAACACAGCTAGGTAACTGGTGAGCGACCGAACAAATTCGGCTGGCCCGGATATCCGAACCAGGAACCTCTCCATTACATGTGGAGCGCTCTACCAATTGAGCTAACCAGGGGTTAGACTTCAGTAGAGCAAACGGGTTTTATCAGCTGCCACCAGTCTAACACCAACAAGGGTGAAACTTGCAATTTAAAGTTATAATTATAATGCAATTAAATGCAAAGGTGCTAGCGAGCGGGACAAGAGTGACAAAAAGAATCCCTGGAGAAGGGGAACAAGAGGGACAGAGGACAAACACAAATCTCCAAACACAGCTAGGTAACTGGTGAGCGACCGAAAAAATCCGCCTGGTCCGAGGACGTCTAACCACTGACCAGGGGTTAGACGTCAGTAGAGCAAACGGGTTTTATCAGCTGCCACCAGTCTTACACCAACAAGGGTGAAACTCGCAATTTAAGGTTATAATTATAATGCAATTAAATGCAAAGGTGCAAGCGAGCTGACAAGAATGGCGAAAATAATCCCTGGAGAAGGGATTATTTTCGTCATTGTGTTCTGCAAAACTACCTCCAAAAAAAATTTTCTCGGTACGTCCCTGATGTAAGGCCATTCGTAAAAATTTCAAGGCGCTTCAGTGTTGCCTTGAATCTACCTCAAAGAACGGAGAAGGAAATGGTGACACCCGGAACGAAGCCTGCTCTCTTTTTAAGAAAATGACAGAGCTCGAGACCGCGTTTATGAGCATTTCCTGGAGTGAAATCTTGTAGCGTTTTTACAAAACCATTGCAGCACTCCAGAAGCCTGGCTTAGATATTTCGACTGTTGTCGATCTTCTGAGCTCTCTGGAAGGGTTTGTTAATTCGTTGCGACCTCGCTTTAATACCGTTGACGCGAGAGCACGCGTGTTGAGCAATGAGTACCATCCAGTGTGATCAGGATGAGGGCAAACGTATTGTTTCGAGAAGCTACCCAGACGGAAAAAGCGATTGTGCGCTACAAAGTAGGGAAAAATTTCTTATAGAGACCTACAATGTCGTACTTGACAGTCTGGGCTCTGCTTTGCGGGTGCGAAAGGTTGCCTACGCCGAATTCTGC